ACCAGTCCCACCCTGGTTTTTTTGTTTCTGTTTTTCACTTTGTATTTCAGAAAGTTTTGAATTTATTGAACACCGGTTAGGAGGTAGCAGTGTCAAGAGCGCCATGTTCCCAGCACCCAGACTCCTCTGTCCCTGCCCCGCCCCGCGGTCTTTCCAAGTCAGCGTAGTCTTCATCTCTAGATGTCAGGTTTGGGTCCGTTTTTATATCTCCCTTGCCTTTGTTTAACTTCCTTGACATGGAATACAGTTAAGATTTAAAATGACTTTTTACAATTTATTTTTTAAAAATATATTTGTTTATTATTTGAAAGGCAGAATTACAGAGAGGGAAAGAAGAGAGAGATTTCTGTCTGATGGTCCACTCCCCAGATGGCTACAATGGCAAGAGCTGGGCCAGGCCAAAGCTAGGAGCCTGGAACTCCTTCTGGGCCTCCCACATGTGTGTCGGGGGCCCAAACACTGGAGCCATCTCCCCCTGGTTTTCTTCTGCCTTTTTTTTTTTTTTTAATTAAGATTTATTTATTTACTTGAGAGGTGGAGTTACAGAAGGAGAGACAGAGAGAGTCTCCCACCTGCTGGTTCCCTCCCCAGATGGCTGCAACAGCCAGGGCTGGGCCAGGCTGAAGCCAGGAGCCAGGAGCTCCATCCGGGTCTCCCACGCGGCTGCAGGGCCCAGCACTTGGGCCGTCCGCTGCTGTTTCCCTAGGCCACAGCAGAGGGCTGGATCAGAAGAGGAGCAGGTGGGACTTGAAGTGGCACGGATATGGGATGCCAGCACCACCAGCAGAGGTTTAAGCCACTATGCCACCGCATCAGCCCCAATTTTTTTTTTTTTTTTTTTTTTTTTTTTTTTTTTTTTTGGTAAAAAGATTTATTTATTTCAATGGGAGAGAGAGAGAGATCTGCCATCCGCTGGTTCACCCTCCAAATGGCTGCAAAGGTTAGGGCTGGACCAGGTGGAAGCCAGGAGTTTCAACCTGGTTTCCCACAGGGGTACAGGGGCCCAAGCACTTGGGCCGTCTTTCTCTGCTTTCCCGGATGCATTAGCAGAGAGCCGTATTGGAAGTGGAGCAGCTGGGACTCAAATCTGCACCCATATGGGATGCTGGCATTGTAGGTGACGGTTTACCCATTACGCCACAGCGCTGTTCCCCTTTGCTTTTCCAGGTGTATTAGCAGGGAGCTAGATCAGAATTGGAACAGTGCAGGGGCCGGCGCTGTGGCGCAGCTGATTAATGCCCTGGCCTGAAGCGCTGGCATCCCATCTGGGCGCCAGTTCTAGTCCCGGCTGCTCCTCTTCCGATCTAGCTCTCTGCTATGGCCTGGGAAGGCAGTAGAAGATGATCCAAGTCCTTGGGCCCCTGCACCCGCATGGGAGACCCAGAAGAGGCTCCTGGCTCCTGGCTTCGGATTGGCACAGCTCCGGCCGTTATGGCCAATTTGGGAGTGAACCATGGGATGGAAGACCTACCTCTCTCTGCCTCTCCTCTCTGTGTATAACTCTGACTTTCAAATAAATAAATAAGTCTTTAAATTGAAAAAAAAAAAAAAAAAGGAGCAGTGTAGATTTGCACTGGTGCTCATACAGAAGTGATGCTGGCCTGACCCACTGTGCCAGAACAGTGGCTCTGTACTTTTTTTTTTCCTTAAAATTTTATTTATTTATTTGAAAGGCAAAGTGTTAGAGAGAAGGGAGAGAGGCCTTCGTCTGCTGTTCCCTCCCCAGATGGCCACAGTGCTGGGGCTGGGCCAGGCGCAGCCAGGAGCTCCTTGCAGTCTCCCATTTTGAGTGACGGCGGCCCGGTCCTTGGGTCACTGCTGCTGCTCCTCCCAGGACCGTGGGGCAGGGAGCTGGGCCGTCCACGTGGGACAGCTGGGACTGAACCTGCGCTCCGGTCTGGGACGCTGGTGCAGGCGATGGCGGAACCCAGATGCCGCGACGCCGGCCCCTGTGCTGACTTCGTTCTGTTTGGTGTTTTAAGGGTTTTGTTTTTTCAGTGCATCTGCAAAGATAGTGTATACAAAGGATCGAGACGTGAGAGGTACTGGTCCAACACTAATGAGTCTGTAAGATAGTGTATACAAAGGGTTGAGATGTGAGAGGTACTGGTCCAACACTAATGAGTCTGTAAGAGTTAGGGTTCTGGGAAGGCGGAAAAGATTACACATTTACAGGTTGGAAACTGCAACCGGAATAAGCCGGCTAAGTCCTGTTAACGCCTGGTGAAGAGTCTGAAGACTCCTCCGTGTTTTCAGTAGACGAGAGCCTCCGCGGGCCACGCTGGCGGTCCTCTTAGCACAGCAAGAGTGAGGGGGTCCCGACTGCCCCACGCTCTGGGTGTGCCCCCACCCCATCCCACTCGGCTTCAGGAAGCAGGCCCCGGCCCGCGCAGTCCCCAGGGATCTGTCCAGCACCGCCCTGGGGTCTTCCGCTGCATTCTAGGACCACCATGGAACACATTGCACATTGCAAATCTGCTAAGCTCATGAGACAGTGACTGACGGGGGAAAATGCTTTTAATTATGGACTCAGTCCACTGGTGTGTTTCAAGAGGTGCAGTGGAAGGAATTAACTTCTCCCCAAATCGGCAAATGGCACACAGTTCCGTGAAGGTCGAGGTCCCATGTGGCGTCCTGGCAGGAGGAAGGGCACGACGGGCTCCGCCCCCCCCCCCCCCCCCCCGGGGTTTTCAACCCTGAATCTGCGCAAGGTGGAGGGAAGGGGTTGTTAGGAAATGAGGCATCTGCCATACTCCTTCCTAAGCACGTGTCTTTTTATTTTTAAGATGGACTTATTTGTGGCCAGCACCGCGGCTCTAATCCTCCGCCTTCGGCACCGGCACACCGGGTTCTAGTCCTGGTCAGGGCTCCAGATTCTGTCCCGGTTGCCCTTCTTCCAGGCCAGCTCTCTGCTGTGGCCCGGGAGTGCAGTGGAGGATGGCCCAAGTGCTTGGGCCCTGCACCCGCATGGGAGACTAGGAGAAGCACCTGGCTCCTGGTTTCAGATCAGCGGGGTGCGCCGGCCGCAGCGTGCCAGCCGCGGCGGCCATTGAGGGGTGAACCAACAGAAAAGGAAGACCTTTCTCTCTGTCTCTCTCTCTCTCTCTCACTGTCCACTCTGCCTGTCAAAAAAAAAAAAAAAAAAAAAAAAAGATTTATTTATTTGAAAGAGTTACACAGAGGAGAGGCAGAGAGAGAGATCTTCCATCCACTGACTCACTCTCCAGTTGGCCACAACGGCTGGAGCTGAGCCGATCCGGAGCCAGGAGCCAGGAGCTTCCTTCGGGTCTCCTATGCACGTGCTGGGGCCCAAAGACTTGGGCCATCTTCCCCTGATTTCCCAGGCCATAGCAGAGAGCTGGGTAGGAAGTGGAACAGCCAGGACTCGAACCTGCGCCCATATGGGATGCCAGCATTGCAGGCAGTGGCTTTTACCCACTACGCCACAGCACCGGCCCCAAGGGGACGGGTCTTCTAACGCTAGATCTAGAAAGTGGAATGTGGAATCAATCCGTCGTCCTCCCCTGTAGGGCTGTCCACTGGTTAATGAATTAAAGAAACGACACGAAACCACTTCAGCCACGCAGACAGCTGCGGGCCTTGTGGGCGATGGTGCTGCTGGCAAGCCTGTCTCCTGATTCCCACAACAAACAAACTCCCAGCTGAGTGCGAGCCGACTGTCCTGACAGCTGTGCGCTCGCAGTTACGGCTGCTCCATCCAGGTCTCCAGAGCGGTGGCACGGGCATCTGCCATTTCCAGGCACATACGCGGGAAGCCAGGGAGTTCCCTACTGACACCAGATTTGTCTGCAAAGAGAAGAACTGACCCTGCCACGCTCGGCATGAGCAGACAGTGTATCCAGCCGACTTCCAGCGCTGTGTGTGGAACCTGACGGACAGTTAGGCCCGTGCTGGGAAAGCACTGCGAAGCCTTGCTTCCCTGAGGACCCGGAGCGGGGATCAGACTGGAGGACGTGTCGGGGAGGGGTTCTGGAAAACAGCTGTGTTTTTATTTATTCATGAGAGCGAGCTCCCCTCCGCTGGTCTGTTCCCCTAACGGCGGCTGGGGCTGGGGCTGGGGCTGGGGCCTCCATCCAGGTCCTCCACGTGGGTAGAGGGACCCAAGTACTTTGTTACCCCTGCTGCCTCCCAGGTGCACAATAGCAGGACACTAGAATTGGAGGCAGAGCCAGGACTCACCAGGTTCCCTGACAGGGATGCGGATGCCCCATGCAGCAGCTTGACCGGAAACCCTGACGCCTCTAGCTTCCTCCCCGTGCTCAGAGCTGTGGGTCAGTGTTGAATGCATCCTGTCATCTTTGTTCTCATATCACTGACTTGTCTGTTTCAAACTGTGGCTACAGATCTCCAAAAAGACTTCATTGATTTTGCCTTTTTAAAATTTAAGATTTATTTATTTATTGGAAAAGCAGAGGTATAGGGAGAGAGAGGAGAAACAGAGAGAGGTCTTCCATCTGCTGGTTCACTCCCCAAATGGCTGCACCCACTGGGACTGGGTCAGGCCAAAGCCGGGAGCTCCTCCCCCTCTGGGTCTCCCACGCGGGCACAGTGGCTCACCTGCTTGGGCATCCCTCACTGCCCTCCCAGACACATTTGCAGGGAGCCGGGTTGGAAGTGGAGCCGCTGGGACTGGACTGTGCGTTCTGACACGGGGTGCTGGCATCGCAGCTGGCGGTTTAGCTGGCTGCACCACGGCCAGCCCCTGCTTCTGTTTCTATCTCAGCTGGTCAGCAGCAGAACGGTTTGCTGTTTCTCTCCTCCTCTTCCTGGCATTGTAGACCCTCTGAACCTCCTTAGGGTAACTGGCTTTGACTGGCCTGCTGCTCCTGTCCGCGCGGCCTTTTCTTGCCCTGCCTTGCCCTGTCTCTCCCGAGTTGCCCATCGCCGCACTGGCGGCCCTGTGCGGGGAGGAGGGCTGGGTGTTGGGCCGGGCGCTGGTGCGGTGGCCTGGGCTGACGAGTTCTTGGTTCCTCACCCAGTGGGCATCCCCACCATCAGGTGGTGCGGGGCGGAGGGCGATTACAACGTCATGGTGATGGAGCTGCTGGGGCCCAGCCTGGAGGACCTCTTCAACTTCTGCTCCAGGAAGTTCAGCCTCAAGACTGTCCTGCTGCTTGCTGACCAGATGGTACGACCCTGGCTCCCTGGGCCACGCTTACTCTCGTCTCCGGGGCAGCCTGGGAGGGCGCAGGTGCAACCTGAGGTTTGTTTAGCCCTTGCCTGGAGGCAGCTGGGGAGTGGGGAGGGCCTCCCTCTCCAAGCTCTCGGCACTGGCTTTCTTCCACGTAGGAGCACAGCTGACTGCAACCAGTGTGCAGTTTCCGGGCGAATTCCCCTGTGCAGACCAGTGTCTGGCAGGAGGGCTCGGCCTGCTGTGTGTGGCCCCCTTGCAGGCCAGTGAGGGCAGAGAGAGGGCAGCTCGGGCACGTCCAGTTCGGCGCCCCCGTCCTGACGGTTGTTGGGAGCGTGCCGGCACGGGCTCGGGCTTCACTGCCGCCTGGCTGCTCCGTGAGGCTGCGGCTCTGGGATTTCACCGCGTGCTGGTGCTCGTGTCGCCGCAGATCAGCCGCATTGAGTACATCCATTCGAAGAACTTCATCCACCGAGATGTGAAGCCAGACAACTTCCTCATGGGGCTGGGGAAGAAAGGCAACCTGGTCTACATCATCGACTTTGGGCTGGCCAAGAAGTACCGGGACGCAAGGACGCACCAGCACATCCCCTACCGTGAGAACAAGAACCTCACAGGGACCGCGCGGTACGCCTCCATCAACACGCACCTCGGAATTGGTGAGCCCCGCCCGCGGGGTGCTGGCTTAGCTAGCTGTGGGTGTGTGCATCGCGCATCTCGGGCGCCCAGGCTTGTGAGCGTGTCTGTTGCCGGGGCCCTGATCAGGCCTTTGTAGCAGACAGTCTGGCTGCAGCAGCAGTTGAAGCCTGGTTGTCCGGCAGGAGGCAGGGCGGTGCCAGGATGTTGCCCCCTCTGGGCTGGGGCTGGGGCGGTCCTCAGTGGCGCCTGGGAGCACCTTCCGCCACTGAGGGGGCGAGTGTTGCCTCTGTGCGAGCACACGGCCGCCAGCCCTCACGCCGTTCCTTTTCTTTGCAGAGCAATCTCGAAGGGATGACTTGGAGTCCCTGGGCTACGTGCTCATGTACTTCAACTTGGGCTCTCTGCCCTGGCAGGGGCTGAAGGCTGCCACCAAGAGACAGAAGTACGAACGGATCAGCGAGAAGAAGATGTCCACCCCCATCGAAGTGCTGTGCAAAGGCTACCCCTGTGAGTGTCCTCATTCCGCAGCAGGCGTGGCGGCAGAGGGGCCGCTGTGTGTGTGGAGGTCACGGTGGCCTCTTGTTTGATGCATCCCGAGTGTCTCTGGTGGGAGCTCCGTCAGCCCAGAGGAGGTGGAGGCAAGGCCCGGCTGACCTTGCGAAATGTCTCGGACGTTGGGAGGTGGAGAGTGAGTGGTGGCTGTACCTGCCTTGTGGGCTGACCACAGCCTATAGCCAACCTCAGTGTCTGGGTTCGTAATCACTGAGTTTTCCTGTGTTCTAAGACTTCCCTGGGTAAAATTAAGTTTGCTATGTGATGTTGAATATTTTAAAAACACTTTCCCGAGGCCTAGATTCTTCAAAATGTGGCTGGTTTTAAAATGCACACTTGCAGGGCCGGCGCTGTGGCATAGCGGGTAAAGCTGCCGCCTGCTACCCCAGCAGACCACGTGGGCACTCGTTCAAGACCCGACTGCTCTGCTCTGATCCAGCTCCCTGCTGATGTGCTAGGAAAGGAGTGGAGTTCGTCTGACGTGCTTGGGCCCCTGTACCCACATGGGAGACCCGGAAGAAGCTCCTGGCTCCCAGCTTCAGCTTGGGCCAGCCCTAGCCATTGTGACCATTTGGGGAGTGAACAAGCAGATGGAAAATCTCTTTCTCTTTCTCCCTCCCTCGTGTGTGTGTGTGTGTGTGTGTGTGTGTGTGTTTCTCTGTCTTTTAAGTAAATAATTTTTTAAATATTTATCTAAGAGGTAGAGTTATAGACAGGTTCTTCCATCTGCTGGTTCACTCCCCAGATGGCCACAATAGCTGGAGCCAGGAGCTTCTTCCAGGTCTCCCATGTGGGTGCAGAGAGAGTCCACTGCTTTCCCAGGCCATCCCAGAGAGCTGGATCCGAAGTGGAGCAGCCGGGACTCAACCAGTACCCGGCTGGGTGGGATACCGCTGCCGCATGCGGAGGCTTCAGCGCACTGTGCCACAGTGCCAACCCCGAATAAAGCAAGAGGCGGCACACTCCCTGGGTGTGTGGCCACAGGGGTGAGCAGTGGTATTGACAGGTGGGCATTTCGCTTAGCTTTGTGCTGCTTGTCTTTCAGCTGAATTCGCCACGTACCTGAATTTCTGCCGTTCCCTGCGCTTTGACGACAAGCCCGACTACTCGTACCTGAGACAGCTCTTCCGAAACCTGTTCCATCGCCAGGGCTTCTCCTACGACTACGTGTTCGACTGGAACATGCTCAAATTTGTAAGTGCTGCCGCCGCCAGCTCTGCCTTCTCGAGGCATGACGGGAACTGCCCATCGGTGGGAAGCTGGCGGCCCTCGTCCAGGGCCACATCGTGTGCAGGCGACTGTGCCGTCGAGGGCTTGGGTTTTTAGGGCATGTTTGCCAAATTGGGGAAGCCCGGTATCCCTTGTGGGCCCTGGGCTGATGCGGGTGTGTGCCGTCGAGGAGAGCCAGGCTCCCCTGAGACCATGTGACGCGGGCAGCAGGTCCTGGAGTGGCCGAGAGGTCTGCCTGCAGCCGCAGCTCCTGGGAGTTGGCACGTGCAGGTTTCTGGGGTTGGAGTGGCCAGCACCAGTTCTCAGAGCTCCGTGGGGCTGCCTGCGGTGCCCTCACCCAGCGTCACCCGGGGCTGCAGGGAGCCAGAGGGCCCAGTGCCGTGGGGGCTGTGGGGACCCCCGTGCTGTGAGGAGCGCACCTGCTGTCTGGATTTGGCCCTGTGGTGAGCCCATCTCACGTTAGGTATCCTTCTCACCACAGTTCGTGATGTGTGCATGAGACGCCATGGCTGTGCCCGGCCAGTGCTGGGGTGCAGTGAGCTGAGCTGCCGCCTGCAGCACCAGCGTCCCGTCGAAGCCCCAGTTCTGATACCCAGCTCCCTGCTGATGTGCCCGGGAAGTCAGCAGATGATGGCCCAAACCCAAAAACCTGGGCCCCTGCTACCCATGTGGGAGACCACCATGGAGTTCTGTCTCCTGGCTTTAACCTGGACCATCCCCAGCCTTTGCAGCCGTCTGGGGAGTGAACCAATGTCGCCGTCTCTCTCTGAAGCTCTCCCCACTCTGCCCTGCAGACCGAGGGCAGGCAGCCGTTCCCACTTGGCTGCGGTTGCTGCTGATGCTGGCCGCTTTGGTCCAGCTCTGGTGCCTTCTTCCACTGAAGATTGTCCCGCCCAGCTGTCACTCAACTCAGCACCTTAGCAGTTGACAGGATCTAGTGGAGGAGAGCTGGCACCGTGGCTCACTAGGCTAATCCTCCGCCTTGCGGCGCCAGCACACCGGGTTCTAGTCCCAGTCGGGGTGCCGGATTCTGTCCAGGTTGCCCCTCTTCCAGGCCAGCTCTCTGCTGTGGCCCGGGAGTGCAGTGGAGGATGGCCCAAGTGCTTGGGCCCTGCACCCCATGGGAGCCCAGGAGAAGCACCTGGCTCCTGCCATCGGATCAGCGCGGTGCGCCGGCCGCAGCGCGCCAGCCGTGGCGGCCATTGGAGGGTGAACCAACGGCAAAGGAAGACCTTTCTCTCTCTCTCTCTCTCTCACTGTCCACTCTGCCTGTCAAAAAAAAAAAAAAAAAAAAAAAGAATCTAGTGGAAGAGTACAGCTTTTTGCCTCTTCAGAAGGCAGCAGGGCCAGTGGTGTGGCTGGAGACCACTGGGCGGGCAGGCAGGCATCCTGCCCTGGGGCTGGAGTCCCAGGGCGCGAACGACCGTGTGCTGTGGCTCAGAGGCCAGCCCCGTGCTGCTGTCCCATAGTCCAGGGTCCGGGCATCAGGTGGCCACCCGCCTTGTTCCGGCATTGTCTGTCCCTCATTGCAGCCGGGCACAAACGGCCGTCACCGTGGCTTTGCTGGTGTTGTCTGCCCTGACAGCGTGTGGGCGGGCGGGCATGTCCAGCCCAGTGAGGCTTTCTTCTCCGCAGGGGTAGCACCTGGCTGTGTCTGGCAGCCGTGGGTGTAGAGCCTCACCTGATGGTGTTAGCAGTGGGGGCAAGGCCTGGCTCATGACAGGCGTCTTAGCCTGGGGTGCACGGAGGGTGTTTGAAGTAGCAGCGAAGGTCTGATTGGGAGTGCGTCCCCCGTCAGCGCCCACTGCCAGACAGCTTCCTGCCAGTGCAAACCCTGAGCCGCAGCAGCTCCGGTGCTCGGGAGACCCAGCTGGATTGAGTTCTGGGTTCCTGGCCCAGCCCTGGCTTTTGGGACCATTCGGCAAATGAATTATTGGAAAGGTTTCTTTTCTGTCCTTCTTCCTTTCAAATAAATAAATAAATTAGAAAAAAAAAGACTGTTTGTTTGGGAGGCAGAGTGTACAGAGGGAGAAAGAAAGATCTGCCACCTGCTGGTTCACCCAACAAATGGCTGCAGTGGCCAGGGTTGGGCCAGCTGAAACCAGGGCCTGGAGCTCGTGTCTGGGTCTCCCGGAGCCCAGGTCCTGCCGGTTTCCGCTGATCTCGGCGTATCACCAAAGAGCCGGATCCGATGTGGAGCAGTGAAGCCTCGAACCCGTCATGATGGTGTTGCAAGCGACAGCCTAACCCATCGCGTCCCCACACCCAGTCCTTAATCAGAAGTGTACAGGGGCTGGCACCGTGGCGTAGCCTTTGCCTGCAGTGCCGCATCCCCTGTGAGCCGCAGTTCGAAACCCGGCTGCTCTACCAGTCGAGCTCCCTGCTAAAGCACCTGGGAAAGCGTCGGAAGGAGGTGCAGATGTCTGGGGCTCTGTACCTACATAGGAGACCCAGACTTCTGGCTTCGGATTGGCCCGGCTTTGGGCATTGGCAGCCATTTGGGATGTCAACCAGCAGATAGGAGATACCTCTCTCTGTGCCTCTCCCTCTCTGTAACTTTCAAAGTAAATGAATCTTAAAAAAAAAAAAAAAGAAAAAGAAACAAAAGCACGAGTTGGGGTTGTGGGGCGCAAGCCTGGCTGCTGTACTGGCCCCACTACAGCGTGGCCTCCCCCGGTCAGGAGTCTGGGCGCTGGGTGGGTCCCTCAGTGACCCAGTGCTGTTGCCTCTGCCCCACCCCTCCCCAGGTGCTGCCACACTGAGCCCATGCCACGCCTTAGGTGGTTTCCTACTCTGACTTCCTCCACATACAAGCGTTTGGGTGTGCGGGGGAGCCTGGGAGGTGGTGACGCTGAGGCAGCCCTGAGCCGCCGCCCAGGAAAGCACACAGCAGTGCGAATTGGTTTTTTCCGGTGGTTGTGGGTCGGGGGGCTAAAGTGTCTGACCACCATGGGCGCAGCTCTTGTCCAGCAGGCGGCCTTGTTTCCAGCAGCCTGGGTCAGCGCTGGGCTCACCTCTTCCTCTTCCTGTTCTTGAGGGTGCCAGCCGGGCTGCCGACGACGCTGAGCGGGAACGCCGGGACCGAGAAGAGCGGCTGAGACACTCCCGGAACCCAGCCACCCGTGGCCTGCCTTCCACAGCCTCTGGCCGCCTGCGGGGAACCCAAGAAGTGGCTCCCCCAACGCCCCTCACCCCTACCTCACACACGGGTGAGTGCCCGTCGGCGAGCACAGGGCTCCCTTCTGTCCAGTGTCTCTTGGGTCTGGGCTGGCGCTCTGGCCTCCCACGCGTGGCTGGTGCTGTCGGACCTCTTGCTTTGGTCGGTTCTTACTCCAAAGAACAAGTGGGATGTCTCTCCCAATGCCCAGATTTCTCTCCCATGCACCTTGTAGGGCCGAGTTCCCCGGGCCCCAGGTGCTGTGGCGTCATGAGGCCCCGGTGTGCCCTCCATGCTGAGCTCTAGCCATTGGGGGCTCTCCCCTGCCAGCGGCCCCTCTGTCCATGGAGCTTCCTCCAGTGAACCCCCGTGCGGGAGCCAGGCCCCAGCACAGGCCGTGGGTAGGCCAGCTCACCCTGGGTCTCTGCCCGCCCCCCCAGCCAACACCTCTCCACGGCCTGTCTCTGGCATGGAACGAGAGCGGAAAGTGAGTATGCGGCTGCACCGCGGGGCGCCAGTCAACATCTCCTCGTCCGACCTCACGGGCCGGCAAGATACCTCTCGCATGTCCACCTCACAGGTGAGTGCCGGTCCACGCTCCACCTGAGCCCCGCCAGGGCTGGTCTCGCGCGCTCCAGGGTGAGAGTGGGGTGGGATATCGCGTTCCCTCCCTCCCTCCCTTCTGCCCTTTCCCGTGTGTGGGGGTCCTCAGCAGGGGACCCGTGTTCCTGGTGAGTGAGTGGCGTCTTGTTGAGCGCTCAGATAACGTGTGCCGTCTCTAACAAGGGCTTGGTTTCCAGCCATGGCTGCACCTGTGGCGGCTGCTACTGCGCCTGCGTGTGAGCAGCTTCCCCGTGCACCCCTGCCCGCTCCTCGTCCGGGAGGGACGGCACCGGGGGCAGGTGCTGCCGAGGAGCCCGAGCCCCACCCTGTCCCTGGGCCTGCAGTGACCCCGCAGGCACGGCCCCGGTGCTCTTCACGGCCTCTGACGAGAAGAGTGCCAGAGAAAGCGGCTGCGAGCGGTGAGGGCAGGGCAGCACGCGAGTCCTGGGCAGCCGGGGCCAGCGGGGGCCCTGCTCTCCTGACCGTTTTCCTCCCGACATCTCCCTTCTCACTCTTGCTCTGCGTGGTTCTGTGGTGCAGCCGGCAGAACACTGCACCCGGCGTGGTCGCCCAGAGGGCTGGGCTTGGGCTGAGGATGAGCGTCGGAGGCGTCTGTTCCGCTGTGCAGCCCACCCTGGGCTCAGGGCTGCGTGGGGGTGTGGGGCGCGCAGGGGCCTGGAGCCCGCCTCAGCCCTGTGCCCCAGCTCTGAAGGAAATGAGTAGTTTCGTTGGACATCGTGACCCTGCCGAATCATGGGCTGTGTCTGTGCTTTCTGCTGCGTCCCACTAGGGCCGGGACGCTGGGCAGCTCCTGCAGGGCACACACAGGCCTGGGGGCTTCCTTCCCAGCGGGCGGCTGCGGCTGTGAGCAGGCCCAGGAGGTGTCATCCAGCTGCACCTGCGGGGCTGGTTCTGCCCAACCCGTGAAGCAGGAATGAGGCTGCGATTGGACTGGGGCCTCTTGGAGGCAGCAGCTGTGCTGCCCTGACTTCTTCAATAAAGCGTCTGGTGTTTGGGATCGGGAGGGGAGCGAGCTTGGGGCGGCCCAGCCGTTCTCGGCCCACATCCTCGGTGTCACCGGAGGTTGTCTCCCCGGCAAGCCTGTGGCTTGGGATCATGCTCTGTGCGCTCCTGGCTTGTTTCCATGTGGGGAAGGAGCGTGTGGCTCTCCCAGGAGGCATGTGGCTGGGTGCTCCGGGTTGCCAGTGCGCCTGCCCTGTCCCCATGGAGGGCACTGAGTGCTCTGGGGTCAGCCCAGCTGTGAGTCCAAGGCCAGACGAGGCCCTCGGCCAAACGCGCACCTGCTGGCCCGGAAGCTTCAAGCGTGCGTGGGGCTGCCGCTCGCGGGCACCCCTGAGAGAAGGGTGGGCGCTGGTGCAGGCGTGGCGTGTCTGCGCTAAGGCGCTGGAGGCCGCACGGCGTGTCTGTCCTAGGGTGCTGGAGGCCGCGCGGCGTGTCTCTCCTAGGGCGCTAGAGGCCGCGTGGCGTGTTTGCCCTAGGGCGCTGGAGGCCGCGTGGTGTGTCTCTCCTAGGGCGCTGGAGGCCGCGCCGCGTGTCTGTCCTAGGGCGCTGGAGGCCACGCGGCGTGTCTGTCCTAGGGCGCTGGAGGCCGCGTCGCGTGTCTGTCCTAGGGCGCTGGAGGCCGCATGGCGTGTCTGTCCTAGGGCGCTGGAGGCCGCGTCGCATGTCTGCAGGCCAGGCCTCCCCGACGGCCACTCTTACCCGTTTTGCCCTCTCGGGAGAGGTGGTCCCTTCTTGTGGCGATGCCGGTCTGCAGGCGGGTTTCTTGGTGTCCTCTGGGCCTCATGCTTGGGTCGGGCTGGATGGCTGGCCACCTCATGGTGCGCGTGGGCCACTGCCCACCCACTCTTGGCTCTCTCCTGCCCCCTTCCCTTCTCAAGGCCGCTGGCGTTGGGCCCGTCCTGGGGGAAGTGCGGTGCCTGTCTCCTGGCGTCTGGGCCGTGAGTCTGTCCGCTCTTCTCTTTGTCCACACCGTCTGTCATTCCTTCGGGTGAATCGCGCTGACCCACGCTCTGCCCAGAGAGAGTGCGGTCCTGGTCCTCCCCCTAGTGAGGGAGTGCGCCCCGCCCCCCATGCTCTGGTGGTGCCATGCCAGCAGCTGCCTTCGTGGGCAGAGACCCAGCTGTTCCTAGGTCCCCCGAGGCGGCATCTGTCAGTGGTCTGTGGCCCGGCTGAGGTGCGGTGAGGAGCAGGTCCGGATGCAGGGCGCCATGGGCAGTCGGGGCCAGGCCCTGTGCACGTTACCAACAGCTGTCTTTTCCTCATCTCAGAATAGCATTCCTTTCGAACACCACGGCAAGTAGCTGCTCGGCCCATCGGAAGGCGGCACTGGGTGAGTGCTCCGGCAGCAGCGGGAGGGCTGGGAGCGCCCCCCGCCCGTGGCCGCCGCAGGCGGGGCTGCGCTTGCATGCCAGGTGCCGGCGGTTGAGTGCAGCTTCTTCCGCTTTGTTCTTGTGGTGTGGGCTCTGGAGCGTCTGCGGTCAGCTGCCCAGTCTTGGGGCAGAGCGTCCAGAGTCTCCGAGCGGAGTGACCCCAGGAGGCCCCCCTGCGACTGCATTGGATGAGCCAGTGCTGCTGGCCCTGTGTGGACAGGAGTGCCCGGGTGTGCCAGCTCCTGGTTGCCCCACCGTCCTGGGGCCGTCTGTGTCGTGCTCCTGTGCCGGGCGGCGCCTCGCTTGGTGTCGGGGGCTCTGAAGCTCTGGCTGCCTTCAGCCTCCCGGTGGTCTGCCCATCCCGGCTGTTCGGTCACCGCTCTCTTCCTGTTTCTCATTTACTTCTGTCCTCGTTTTGTGTTTCTTTTCAAACTTGGTCCCTGCCCAGCCATTGCGTCCACACAGCTACCGTCTGTATTAACCCGTCCAGCCGCGGCCACCTGCTCCCCGCCGCCGGTGCATGGCCGGGCGTCCGTGCACACGCCCTGCTCTTCAGCCACGCGCATCGGGCAGCTCCCGCAGCAGGGCTTGAGCTTCTCCGGGCACTTCTCCGCGCGCTCTTGGGGTGTCGACAGGAACTGCTTCGCGTCCCCCACAGGGGTGCTGCTTCCAGAACACGGAGTTCCTTTCCAGGAGGGGGTCCCGGAGCAGGGTCCTCACCGAGTGCGCGCCAAGTCTCCTTGCTTGCATGCCTCTTCCTCCTGTCTTCCTGTCACTGCTCTGCCGAGCGCGTGTCCTGGCCGCACACGTCCCTGCGCGTGGCGGGACGCAGGTGTCCGAGCTGGGGCTAGGCAGCGCGTCCCCTCCCTCCCAGGCTCCATCCTGTGGTTCGTGTGCCCATGCACCTGGCTGGCCGCCGCGTCTGGCCTCACGCTGACCTTGTCCTGTGCTTTGGCTCCGACAGATTCCCGGTCGGGTGGCGTCCAGTGGTCTTCAGTCTGTCGTGCACCGATGAGAACGCTCCTTTTTGCTGTGAAGGGCAGACAATGCATGGCTGATCTACTCTGTTACCAATGGCTTTCCTAGTGACACGCCCCCCGGTCTAGACCGATGTTCACACCGGGAGCTCTGCAGGCCACTCACCCAGCGACGCTTGTGGGGGACCCAAACAGACTAAGCGGACAGACTCCAAGGGCTGCCCTCGCCAGGGCCGCACCGAGACCCCACGTGGACCCAGTTAAAACGGGCTGGGAAGAAGGCCGCGTGTGCGAGGCGATGGCGAGATCAGACCGTCTCCAGAGCTGCTCAGCCTCCGGTGGCGGTGAGCCTGTGCCCCGGCGCTCCCACTGTAACCACGTCTTCTACTTGGTTAAGACAGTTTTGTATCATTTTGCTAAAAATTATTGGCTTAAATCTGTGTAAAGAAACCTGTCTTTTTATTGTTTGTTTCTTGTCTGTTTTTGCGGTCTTCAAAAGGTGTTGACTTTAAAGAACCCTGAAACAAAGACGCTGGCTTGGATTTTCTGTGCAGAGTGGAGCCAGGCAGGAAGGGGCGCACGTGGCTTTGGAGGGCGTCTGTCTGGTCTGTCTCTGTTCTGTCGTGTCGTGTTGTCCACTTGGAGGAGGAGCGTTCCATCAGCAGTCCCGCTGTGTGCGTGTGCGTGTGCCCTGGTGTCTTCTCCGGCAGCGGTTGGCAGTGCGGTGTGGGGAGAGCTGCGAGGCAGGGGTGTGGCACCAGTGATTCCTGCTCCCCGGGCGAGGATGGAGAGCCCAGAGGCGTGGGGTCACGGATGGTGGTTTTGATGGTGTCTGTGGAACTTGGGAAGTTTTTTAAACAGACTGTAAACATTACCATGCAGGTGGGCACTTGATGTGTTCCTGCTCTGGGCGCCTCTCCTGGATGCCGGGGCTTGCCCAGAGGCCGGCGGGCTGGAGGGCCTCCACCCTGAAGTGCCAAGAAGCAGGTGACTGCCCACCTGAGTCTCCGGGAAGGCCTGGTGCCCTGTGCTTCGTGACCAGCACAGAAGAGTGGTGGCACGAAGCCTCACCCAAGGAAGCCACCTCTGCGCGGCCCTTCCCTGCGGGGCTCCTGGTGCCGGCTGCTGAGGGTCGGGGTGCACGGTGTCCTGTGTCGCTGCGCGGAAGCGGCTGCTGGGCGCTCCGTGGAAGCTGGGACCTGCTTTTCCCTCCCTTCCCCAGAGCCCCCAGCCTGGAGCACCAGCCTGGATGCTTGTGTGTTCCCGATCCAGCGCTGGCTACTTTGTGAGCATTTTGGGGTGCGGGCAGGGCCGGTGGGGATGCGTGTCCGGGTGAGCACAGGGTGGGTGGGGCGGGCGCTGTTGGCTCCCCCCACCCGCCTCCAGGGCTGGCCATCTCTGGGGGCACCCCCTGCTGTCCGCCCCACCTGGAACCGCTGGCCTGTGTCGGGAGTGGACTCTGCTCCCAGCCCTCGGGCGGGGTGTGTGTGCGCGTGCGCTGGTTCTCCATGTGACTTGCAGGAAGCTTAGTTAGGATGTCTGTCGGCTGTGTGTTGGTGACAGTCTCTGAGCTGTGTGTTTTACTACACTGTATTTGTGTACTTTAACAACTGTGTAAATAATAAATTCATAATGACTTCTACCTTTCCCCCTGCCCCTCTCACGTGGTCTTTATTTCGGCGGCCTGAGAAGTCAGTGTGCTAAGGTGAACCACATGGAGCCGCGCCTTGAGGACGGGCGTTCCTGTTGGGGGTAGTGCTGGTTGGAGCCGCTGGGGGCCCCGGCTGCTGCCCCAGGCCCTTCCCACGGGGCTCTGCTGTGCACACAGGCGGGGCCCCCCGGGGAGGGCACGGAGGCTGTTGTTCAAGATGGGCGGCTCTGGCAGGAAGTGCCCGGGCTCGCCTGGGGCTGGCTGGGAAGAGCACATGATGGGCCTCTCAGGGAGGAGCTGACTGGGTCTTGACTTCCCAGGGCCGGGGGTTCCTCGGGCCTGCCGCCGCCAGGGCACTCGCTTGCTCGTGGGAGGCGGAGTACCTGCTGCACACCCACTTTGGCCCAGGCTCACCCTGAGGTGCCAGAGCCTAAAACAGCCTGGGCTTGCGTCCTTGCTCCTCCTGCCCCTGCCAGGCGCCCACAGCCAGGGACTCAACCCCGCCCCCTGCCCTGACGTGTGCCTCTTGCCAGCCCGTGTCCTGGGCGTACCAAGGCGGCTCCTGTGGCTGTGGTCACCCCAGCTCTCAGCACTGGCACATTCCCAAGGCCAGAGCCCCTCGCTGTCTGCCCGGAGAGGGCCCACCTTGCCCCTGCCGCGGGTGCACCTGAGCATAAGGGACGACCCCCCCTCCGGCTGGGGCTGCTGGACTGTCTGTCGCCCTCTGCTCCCCGGCCCTCGCCCAGCTGTGTCTCTGGGCACTTGTGTCACTAAGGGGTTTGGGTGAGCCTCTAGGAAGGACAGGCTTGTTCACCACTGCCCCCTTCCCCTGCCTTGGCATCAGACCCCCCTCCCCCCGCCCAGCTCCCTGAACGCTGGCGTGTCCTTGTCGCCATGTCTTGGGCACAGCTGGGAAACCCCAGAGCCAGAAACACGGAGGAGGGTGCTCGCCCTGCCTCCCGCGGTCTCCCACGTGAGAACCTGCAGGCAGCGTGGTCCGACGCCGGCCAGACTTCCGAGGGGCCTTTCTTGGCTGCCACACGTTGTGGCTGCCCTGGTGCAGGTGTGGACAGGAGCAGGGGAGAGGAAGGACTCCCAAACCTGCCAGAGGGGTGGGGCAGCTGGCGGGAGCAGGCCGTGTGAGCACCAGTGCCGTGTTCACCAGCGGCCGCTCTGCGACCTGGGCCTGGGCAGTCGGGTCCAGCTCACATCAAGCCCCAGGATCCAGGACAGGAAGCAGTAGGCACTGGGGGTATGGGGGGGGGCCTTGGAGATGCGCACGGGCGGACTGGCCACTTGGGCCTGGTGCCTCCCTCCCCATGGTGGGAAAACTGACCCCCAAACCCTGCCCACTCCCGCCTTCTCGTTCACGGGGACAGCGGAGCCTGCTGGCTGCTGTTGGGTTCAGCCCGTCCTGAGCCTCGGGTCTCTGCCAGGTGCGCATGTACCCACGGTGAGGGCAGCAAATCGGCCGATGCCCGGGATGTCTGAGGCCCGGGCCTTCTCGGCCAGGTCTGGAAGCCGGCAGCTGCTGGTCCTCACCAGCCGGGGCCCTGGCAGAGGGGACCCCAGAGCCAGGGTGCTGCGAGCAGCGGCGTGAGCTGCAGGAACTCGAGTCCGGCTTCCTGGTGGGGCTGGACTGGGCTGGGCCTCCAGGGGCGGGTGGGGAGGCCGGGCCTGCGACGTGAGCTCTCGCTTGCTTTTCCTTGCAGAGGAGCAGGGACGTGGCATCTCTCCGGCTGCACGCGGCCCGCCAGGGTGCCCGCTGCCGTCCCCAGCGCCCACGACGCACCACCTACTGAGGCGGCCCCAGCGGCCTCTGACCGGGCTCCCAGCCACGCAGGCCACCGCCGGCCACGAGGGCAGGTGGGTGTGAGGTGCCCAGGGCAAGCCAAGTGCTAAGCACAGGCTGGACAGAGGGGAACAGGGAGCAGAGGCCAGCCCTGGGCACTGCCCACACGGAGTAGACTCTGCCAGCTGACCAGAGCACAGATAAGTGGAAGCCGGGGAGCCCCGTGTCTCAGACAGGAGCAGTGAGCACAGGACACGTGCCCCTCAGGCTCTGCCAGCCACCCACCCGTGGGGCCTCGCGGCCTGCCTGGGCGCCCCTCCAGCACACAGCTCCCTCCCTCGGCGCCCTGGGGGTGGCAGGGAACGTTCTCAGACGGCACCAAGAAAGCCGGTGAGGGCCAGGCCACTCTAAGAATAGCCAGGCTGCTTCCTGACAGGTGAACAGTCAGACCACACAGCTCCTGGGACACCCCTTGGCTTCCACCCTCACAGGTTTATTGCACACAGCCCACAGGTGGAAGCGGCTCGGCCCCAGGCACTGGGGGGGGGGGGGGGGGGGCGCGGGCTGGGGGTCTGACAGCCGGCCCTGGCCTCTGATTAGGCATGTTGTCTCCAGGCCCTTCAGCCGTGGTGGGCGTGGGCTGCGTAGGGTCGGCAGGCGGGCCCTGGTGCAGACAGCGTGTAACCCCGAGGCTTGGCTCCACCGCAGATGTGCTTTGGAATGACACGGTTCCCACCCCGCCGCCTCCCCTGCAAAACCCTGACGGGGTGACCGCTGACCAGGCAGCAGAGCTGAGCTGACGGCCGCCTAAGCTAGTCTGTTTGTGAAATAAATACGAGCATTGCCAGTCTCCGGCTTCTCCCTGCGCCCGCCGCCCCGGCCGGCCGCTCACACGCTGGTTTCCGGGGTGTGGACCACCTCCCCGTTTTTCTCGGGCTCCGCCTTCAGGAAGTGCTCCACCTCCCGCGAGTCCACCCCCAGGTCCTCGGGGGGCGCGTGCAGCTTCTCCTCCAGGGCCGCCGCGGGCCGCGGGGCCTCGGGCCGCTTCGCGATGCAGAAGCAGTTGCCCAGGAGCAGCACCAGCGAGGAGGTGAGCACCTCCGCCCCCGCCAGGATGAACACGTACTTGTAGACGTGCGTCGCATCCAGCAGCTTGCCTGCAACAGGACCGCGTCACTGGCTGCCCCGCGGCACTGGGGACGCGAGGGTGCCCAGGGCCCCCAGAAGCACTGCCCGGCCGGGGAGGACCAGGAGGGAGCGGCTTGGGGTGAAGGAGCCCCAGGCAGCGGGGGGGGGGGGGGCAGGCCACTCCCTGCAGTTGCAGCCATCACACTTGCCCAAGGCCCTCCTGGTCCAGGAGAAAGCCGGAACCCCAACGCCGTGATGACTCGGTCCCGCACCGTGGGACACAGGCTGTGTGGGCTCGGGGCACCCCCCCCCCCCCCGCCATGGAAAGCCACCTGGCAGGAACAGCGGGTGTCGGGGGTTCCCTCCCGGGGTGGGGGCACTCACCTCCCGACGGGGGTCCGATCAGCACGGCCACGGCCTCCAGCAGCAGCACCAGGCCGATGGCACTGGAGAACTTGTGGGTGCCCACGATGGCCATGAGCACCTCAAACTGCAGGGCCCCCACCATGCCGTAGGAGATGCCGAAGAAGATGCAGAAGACCACCAGGCCGCCGTAGTCGCTGGCGGTGGAGCCCGTGAGGTCGGTGAAGCCGTTGAAGAACATGGCGAAGCTGAAGAGGTAGACGGAGTAGGGCCTCACCTTCTTGAGCCCGGTGATGAAGCCGGCCGTGGGCCGCGCGAAGATGTCGATGAAGCCCAGGATGGTGAGCAGGAAGGCCGCCTTCGTGTCCGGCACGCCCAGGTCCTTGGCGTAGCTCACCACGAACACTGGCGGCACGAAGAGCCCCAGCACCATGATGGAGGCGGCCAGTGCGTAGATGACGAAGCCGCGGTCCCGGAAGACGCTCAGGTCCAGCAGGCGCCGGGCCGGCCTCTGGGGCGCGGGCCCCCCGCCCGCCTGGGGCGCCCCCAGGGGCCGCATGAGCGCCGCGCACACGCAGCAGTTGAGCAGCAGGCCCCCCAGGATGAGGAAGCCGCCCCGCCAGCCGTAGTGGTCCTGCAGCAGCTGCCCCAGCGGGGACAGGGCGCACAGGAACACGGGGCTGCCCGCCGCCGCCAGCCCGTTGGCGATGGGGCGCCGCTTGCTGAAGTAGCGGTTGAGCATGATGAGGGAGGGCTGGAAGTTGAGGGCCAGGCCCAGGCCTGGAAGAGAGGGCGGCCGTGAGAGCCCGCCCCGTCACCGGGCGCCCTGGGCACCGCCGTGTCCCGAGGGGGCCTGAGGGGTCTGATGGTGCCGGGGCAGCATCGGGGAGTCAGGGAGAGGGACAGGCCTGCACCCCGGGCAGCTGCCCCTGAGCTGCTGGGGACCGGAGGAAGGCTGGGGCCGGGCCTGCTCACCAGTGAGGACCCCCGTGGTGAGGTAGACCTGGATGATGCTCTGGCAGAAGGACGCGGTCACCATGCCCAGCGACGCGAAGAGGCCACCCACCAGCATGACCGGCCGGCAGCCGAAGCGGTTCACACACACACTGCAGAGCGGGCCTAGAGACAGGGCCACGGCTCAGTGGGGCCAACCGGGGCCCCCAGCCGGGCCCTGCCCACTGAGCCCTGAGGCCGTCTGCTCCTGGCCCACCCCTGGGGCTGGTGCTCCCGGGTCTTCCCCACAAGGGAGGTCCTTTGCAAGACCCTCAGGGACCGTGCACGAGTACAGCCAGCCCATTTGAGCTGGGGCCAAGGCAGACCTCACCTGCACCCGGTGTGGCCCCCACCCCCCGCACCGTGGACCCAGTGCTCAGCCCTGGCACAGGGTCCGGCCAGCTGCCCCCGCACAGGTGGCCCGGTGTGTGCAGGGCCCTCACCAGTGCCGTAGAGCATGGCCAGCAGGATGGAGGAGATCCAGGCCGTGTCGCTGTAGCCGATCCCAAATTCCCGCATGAGCTCCTTGAAGAAAACGCTGACCGCCTTGGGGAAGGCGTAGGAGAAGCCCGTGATGACGAAACAGCCGAAGAGGACGGCCCAGCCCCAGCCCCCATCGGGGGCCTTGACGCCCGTAGGACCCTCATCAACCACGGCTCCTCCCATGGCCAGGAGGTCTGGCTCCGCTGCACCTGAAAGAGGAAGCAGGCCGTCGTGGGGA